AACCACAGCTAATGATCCTGTGGATACAGGTCCTACTGTACTTTATCACAGTCAACTTTGGTTCATTCATTGCAAGTATTACCTTGATTAAACATTCCATTTTTACCTTATGATTTCAAGCCTACCTTGATTAATACAACCCACACTTTCATGTTCAAGTTATGTTTCTATCATGTGGCATTTAACTTTCCTTTTGCCTTTGTGCATATACTGGCAACCTAACTTCTAACTTAACCCAGTTGCATTGTTGGCTTCAGCGCTGTTTGTACTTGTCCATTAGTTATCCCCTGTGGCTGACTGAGTGAGTGCCTTCCAATCTCGGAGTCTCTTCTTCCAGCATTATCTCTTATTTTGTTTTGGACTGTCTTGTAGGATTTTCCTAGGCTAAGGTACATATCCTTCAGAGTCTGTGCATTAGTAATTTATAGAAAATAACTTCTGACATATAACGTCTGCAACAGGTGTGTTTTCTCATTATGTCAAAAGGAACCCAGACAGGATAAATTTAGCTGGAGAGTCTCTCAGAAAAAGCTTGTATAGTAAAAATGAAATATTGACAAAAAGCCATATTTTAACTTGAGTTTCAGTTTGCCAGCATTTTTTTTGGAAAGGTTCCTAAGCCTTAAGAACTGTCTGAGAAGCAGAAATTCTGTAGGTGAACTTTCTTTAGTGGTGAGATGGGGATTTCATCTTCTAAATGTTCTTCTCTGTTGCAAAAGCCCAAGAGTCCTTTCTTGAAAAAACTTCCAGCCCTGCCTGTATCGAGGTATACAATAAAGGCTGTATTGAAGGGATCTGTTCAGCTCTTTTAATACAACTCTTTTTTAAAAAATCTCATGCTAATTAGTCATGTTGGCTAATAGCAAATGAATTTTCTCTTGGAATGGAAAGCACATCCCTGTCCCTTAGCATTTCATATACAGTCTGCCCTGAGCCCTGTCCTCATGTGGCTCTATCTTTCCTTTTTTCCTCTGGCTAAAAGATGATTAGAAGCACACCCAAGAAATGGAGAATTGTGGTTAGTCTCTAAAGGACAGATGTATGAACTTTTTCCACTGTCTCTCAGTTTCTCTTTCTTTCCCAGCTATTCTGCCCCATTTGCATATTATTTGCCTGTGCTGCTCCAGTTTTAACGTCACTTTGCTATTTCTCTTAAAGATCAAATATGTTCATACATATTCTAATATGCATTTTTCCAGGTGTATTTTAATGCACCTCTGCCTGGTATACACATTTTCTCATAGGCAATGTCTGCCTATGTAACATGTTTTTTGTATGTTATTTTTGTTGAAGTTTTTACAACCTTCTATGGTATGAGTGATTGGAATGGACTTTCCTGGGCTGGGGTGAATCTGGTCAATCTCTCCAGCACTAACCAGTTGTTCCCCTCCTGCCTCTGAATTCAAAGATAGTGCTTTTTCCTTGTCTTGGAAACTCACTGAGGGAGTATAATTGGTAAAACCACTCATCAAATATCTCACTAGTAAAGCCCTGTGGGATTACTGTAAGTCAGTTCTGACATGATGGCACCTAAGAACAACAACTAATTTTATGCAGAATTAGGTGCAGCAAATTGGTTTCAGTAAACTGGTCACACTTAACTTTCTAATATCCTCTTCATACAGCACTGATTCAAGTGTCACTTTTCATACTCCTGGTTACTGATACAGTACATGATTGTATGTATTTCAGTTTGCATCTGAAGTGGGATGAAGTCCCTGAATGTTTTTGCCAAATAAAACCTAGTACAGTGGACCCTTGGCTTACAGACGGCTTGACTTACAGACTTTTTGAGTTACAGACTTCTCTGGCCTTAAAATTTAGGTTTGGCTTGCAGCCTGAGAATTGACATACAGACCAGAAAAAAACCGAAATGGAACAAAAACGGCCTGTTATGGGATTAATCGGTTTTCAATGCACTGTAGGTCAATGGAGACTTGACCTACAGACTTTTTGACTTGAGAACCGCCTTCCAATACGGATTAAGTTCTCAAGTCAAGACCCCACTGTAGTGATTAAGGTGCCACAAGAGTCATTGTTGTTTATACAGTTGGCTGTCTGGGACCAACAAAGCAAAATGTGCTCTGCTTCACCATCCAATAAGAAAATGGATAAAGTTGCACCCATCCAACAATAAAAGATTTTGTCAGCCCTATGTAGATAATAGGACGGGTGAAGCAGCTACAGTATCTGCTTGCTTGCTGCTGAACTTTACATGGGCAGCGGGAGAGGAGGAAAGGGAAAGGGAACTTTAAGCCTCTTCATTCAGCTGCTGAGCAGCTATGAAGAGAAAGCCATATATGTAAGTGACTGAGTAGCTCTGCATCATGGGTGTGTGGTTTTCACATGATTGAGAGAGCGAGGGAGAGGGCAGCCCTGCCCACGGATGGCATGAGACCACCACAAATCTAACCAGGAGATAATTTGGTCATCCACAGTAGCTATACTGTAGATGTTCTCCATTCCTTCACTGCAGAAGTAACATCTTCAGAAGATGGTAAGATACACTGACAGATAGGATCTGGTAATGAACCAAAACAATTGAAAATTGGCAGAAAAGGAAAACAGAAAAGAGCAAAAAAAGGGGGGGGCTCAATCCATGAGAAACATAGGTAGGAAAAAAGTATACAGTATACTGTACTGTAAATGTACAGTGGGGCCAGACTCAAATAATATGTTTTGTTGCCTGAGGCTGCATTTCCACATAACCCTAATTCATTGCAGAGAAGAGATCCAGCTAAGCCACTGATCCTGTCTTCAGCATTGGCAGGGCAGCAGGCTCCTTTATGAAGGGTAGGACAATATTTTCCAGCAGAAGGGAATGGGTAGGTGAGGACGTCTGCTATTGCCTCTTAGCCTCTGCTGCCTGAGATGGTTGTATCACTCTGCCTAATGATAGAATTGGTCCCCATGTTCATTTATTCCAAAAGACCCACATGAAGCACATCCGCATGGTTTATCAGTTCCAGTGTATGTGAATGTCATGTAGTATATTATGAGCAAAATGCAGATGTGCAATTGATTTTTACACATAGAATGGGAGACTTTCACAGCTCTTCCGTGGTGAGACATATTCTAAGTAGAATGTTTACATTCAATACAGTAGAACATACACATCTTGCTGTAGAGGAATGGGCATGCCAGTAGAATTGTGAAAGTCAGAAGTGCAGGTGCTTCTGCCTTTTGCTGCATCTGATGACAGGCAGATTTGAATCCACCATGGTATATAGGTAAAACAGGAGATTTGCTATCTGATAAATGGGGACACCTCTCATCAAGATATGCCACATGTCAAGTAGATGTATATTTTGTTTGAAAAAGAAAATGCTAGTGAATTTAGGGGTCTTGTTCCCAGCTAAGTAACTATGCATAGGATTATATTTGATCCTCTGTGTGTTGATCATTTGCACAATTTGTAAGAAGAACTTTTATGATGTTTAGTAGGCTTATTCCCAAATAAATCTTCCTAGAGTTGTACTCTTAAAAATCTACATGCATGGAGAAAGTTTGGAGGTGACAATAAATAGTCAGTGTTCAATTTGCATTAGAAAAAGTGTGGCCTTTTAGAGTAGTGAATCAAGCATCTGTTGTTTATCTGTAAAATTCTTTATTGTGTTTACATGGATCTGAGTGAACTAATGTAGGGGTGTGTGGCGAGTAGTGGCGTGTGTTCCATTGAGAATGTCCCTTTTAGAGCATGGTTTGCTAAACCAGTGGCGTGAGAAAAGGAAACAGGCAATTTGTGACTTTATCTGTCCTTCATTCAGTGTTCTTTCCTTACTTCTCTTTGTGTAGATACCGACACTTCTGTGTTAGTGGGAAAGTGAAGGAGGTGACAGCTGCTTTCACCTTTTCCCCCCTTATTCACGTGATATGCAAGTACAGTACAGTATATAGTAGTATCCAAATGAAGTTGAAAGGAGACTTTCTCTTGGTTTATCCCCTCCTCTCCCTGTATCTCTCTCTCTCTCTCTCTCTCTCTCTCTCTCTCTCTCTCTCTCTCTCTCTCTCTCTCTCTCTCTCTCTCTCTCTCTCTCTCTCTCTCTCTCTCTCTCTCTCTCTCTCTCTCTCTCTCTCTCTCTCTCTCTCTCTGTGTGTGTGTGTGTGTGTGTGTGAGAGAGAGAGAGAGATAAAACACACATATGTACATATATGCGTGCATACTGCATACATGTGTTAAATAGGCACACACACACACACACACACACACCTATATACAAATACAAACATGCATGCATATATTTGTGCATATGGGTGCAGTTCAGAAACCTGCAGGAACATTGGTACCCCTCATGTTCCTTTTCTGTGTCCTCCTTTCTTCAAGAGAGGTGAGGTGTGCAAATGAGAGGAAAATGGCAGGTGTGGGAGAGGCAAAAGTTCAGGTGTTGGTGGAGTTGCTTTGCCACCTACTATAGTTTTGATACACAGTCTGTGGAAATGTTTGCAATAGAACTTAATACTAAACATAGGCCGTAAATTAATGCACGTGAGATGTAACCACACACTCAAGACTCTTAAAGCCAATGAATGTTTTGAATGTTTTGTTTGTGAATTCTTTATTTCATTCTGTATTTCATTTTATTCTATACGTCTGAAGAAGTGGACTCGACCAACGAATGCTCACATTAAAATACAATATTCTATAAGGTGCCACATGTTTTTGTCTTGTTTCCCCCCCCTTTGGATTTTGCCTGATATGTTTACAAAATTTCTTCTTACTGACGTAGAAAATAACAGAATCCAGTGGTTTCTAATATTGGGTCTCCAGATATTCTTGGACTAAAATTCCCAGAAGCCTTTACCACTAGCTGTGCTGGCCAGGATTTCTGAGGGTTATAATCAAATAACATCTGGGGACCCACGGTTGGGAGCCGATGCAATAAAGTAATAGAATTCAGGGGTTCTCCAGTGGAAATTGAATGAGGCATTTTATGCCTATAGATTTTACTTTGTGGTAATGAAATTTTTTTGTACATTAATATATTTTCTTTCTGTTTCAGGAAAACCCTCCTTCTTTTTCTCACAACATGTATAGCTGTGGGTGCTACACAAACACAAGACGAAGGTGAGATGTTTCTCATTCTATTATAGAATATTTGAATAATCTTTGTGTAAAACAGAGCAAGAAGATGAGAAGAACCAGCTTTGATTTAATATTAATAACCTCAGATCCAGGTTTTCAAAGGCCACTCACCTAAATGTCAGATAAAATCACATTGAGTGCAAAAGTTTAAAGAAACCACTTCAAGCAAGTTGACCTTTTTAAAATTACTCACATTTTCTGTCTGTGAAATTGTTTACATATTTAGGCAATCTCTCTGTAAAAAGGAAGTTTTGTACATTGTAAAGGCTTTAATTGTGACTTCATTGCATGTGGGTGTTTTGGGGGTGGCAAACTAAAGCTGAATTACCTTTCCACTCCTTGGGACTCTCCAAAATAAACCAGAGCACATAATAAACAGTTATTGTGGATTTGCATTTTTAAGGCTCTAAAGCTTAAATTGCCTTTTGGCTTATTCCCCCTTCCCCCACTGCATTCTCATATGCATATGACTGAAAAGGATGATTGTGGTTTTTTTTTCCATTTGTTTTGTGTATTTGGAGTATGGATGAATGGGAGAGATGGCTTGTGGATACTTCATTGCAAATATTCCTCTGCAGTGAACTTACGATATCTTATTGTCTCAGTTTTAAGTATGTATGGACATTAAAACTTAATTATGAGGGTAATTAAAATGGAGACAAAACGGCCTCCGGCCTCTTTCTCTGCTGAGGAAGTGTGCGAATTCTAAACCAGTCAAGAGAAACAAACTGTTCCTGGTCTTTAGAGTGCATGTGATAGATAAAAGCTGCATTTTAAAAGCTTCCTGGTAGAAAACAAAAAACATAAAGAACTAGTGTGACAGTTTGTGAATTTATTTTTTCTCCTTCTCTTTCGCCTCTACAGAATATAGGGTTGCATTCAGTCATGCAGCATGACACTTGCAGTACAAAATGAGAACAGTATAATCCAGTGGTTCCCAACTTTGGGTAACGCAGGTGTTTTGGGATTGCAATTCCCAGAAGCCTTCCCCACTAGCTGTGCTGACCAGGGTTTCTGGGAGTTGCAGTCCAAGAGTATCTGAGTTACCCAAAGTTGGGAACCACTGGTGTAATCCAGAGTGAACTGTTTGTGCATATTAGATCTGAGAGTCTGTTGATGTTCAAAAGCAGAGACCTTCCTTCTGTATGTAGGAGTATATTCTTCTGCAAGAAGGATTGTGGCCAATGAAGGACAGGAGTGGAGCGCCTTACTTTCCTGCAGATTTCCCAACCTGGTACCTCTAGCTGTTGATCTTGTGGCTGTTGTTTTAAGAAACGCTTTTCAGAAACACAAAGCTAGTTCTATACCTCTTGAATCCTTGCCTTCATAATATTATTATTATTATTATTATTATTATTATTATTATTATTATTATTATTATTATTATTATTATTATTATTATTATTATTATTATTATTATTATTATTATTATTATTATTATTATTATTATTATTATTATTATTATTATTATTATTATTATTATTATTATTATTATTATTATTATTATTATTATTATTATTATGGACCACTCTAGGCGGCTAACAACAAAAACAATACAATAAAAATACAAATAAACGATTCTAAATGATAAAAGCACTACATTACATTACACAGGAAACAAAACAAAAACAGAAGAAGAGGAAAGAAAGGATCAGGAGGTATGTGATGGAAAGGCCTGCCGAAACATCCATGTCTTTAACTGTTTCTTAAAGATAGCCAGCGAGGGAGACCGCGAATCTCAGGAGGTAAATTGTTCCATAGGCGAGGAGCCACCGCCGAGAAGGCCCATTTTCTTGTCTTTTCCTTCCGGACCTCCCTTGGCGTTAGGCTCCTCAGCCTCACCTCCTGGTTCGCACGAGTGACACGGGTAGATCTTGGTGGGAGTAGGCGTTCCGCCAAGTATCGAGGCCCTAAACAGTTTAGGGCTTTGTACGTAATCATCAACACTTTGAAGTCGATGCGGAATCGGATGGGCAGCCAGTGCATCTTTAGCCTTTGAACTCATCATATACACATGTGTAGTTCAAAGCATTATTATGGCTTGCCCCAAGCCCTTTAGATGTCACAGTCAAAAACATGTAGTCTTTGCTGGCCTTTCACTTGGTGTCCAAAATTTCTTCGGTTTTCTTAAAATCGCACACTCCTTCAAAATTCAGAATAAATTGAAGACATATGGCATGCAAAGGGAAAAGGAGTTTGATGGGGTCTCTAACCATGCTCCTTTGGCAAACCAGGGCGTGTTAGAAGAAAAAGACATGAACCAGCTACCCATATCCCCCATCCTGTAGGAGAATGATTAATGAAGTCTGCAGGAAAATTGGGAAGAAAGCATCAGTCTCCCAAGATTGAAACAAGCCATTTTCAAGATGACAACCATAAATATTTGTTGCCGATCTCCTTTGATTCCCCCTCCCCTTTAAAGTTACAGACTAAATGAAATCAGATGCCAACATTTGTACAGATGGGGAAAAGGAACAGATCCTTAATGGACATAGCATGGCACCTGGACTGGATTACGTGTCTTCGGAAAGTGTGTATTTTGTTAAACACTTTTGAACAATGTATTTTAAAAGGCCTATTATATTTCTTCTTGCAGGTTACAGGGCTATAGTTTTCTGGACATGTGCATCAGGCTTCAAGCCTGGCCTTTAGAGATGTGGGCAGTGTGTTAGCCAAGGTCAGCTTCCTCATAATCCAAATTTTGCTTGCGTATTCACTGGCTTGTCAAGCTAAGTGATAACTTCCTTTTTACCTTTCTTGGCACTCTGGAGAAGGGAGGAAACGTGTAATCAAGCACCTTCTACCTATACTGGACTCTGGACTTACCCAACAGGCTCCTGTCATCATTAGCGTACTGTTGAGATGGCAGTGCTGTTGGGGTACTACTTTGTACTGGGTCGGTGATGGAAACTCTGGCTTCTCTGTTGGTCAGCAGAGTCAAGCACGATGAAGTAAAAGAAGAGCCAGCTGTACCATTAGCCAAAGCTGTCTTAGGTAGCAGTTTTGGACAAAGACCTTTGGGTTGTGTGGGCGGCATATTAAATAAACAAACAAACAAACAAACAAATAAATAAATGGCAGCACATTGTTAGTTATTTTGCTGTAACTGGATTTTTCCCCACTGCTATGCATAGGGAAAGATGCTTGTGGGATTTTCTGTCTCATTTGCCAGAACAACTTGGTTTGTTTTCATTACAGTCAGTCGTGCCTCGCTTTATGATTGCCCCGCATTACGACGAAACCGTATTACGATGATCTTTCTGTGATCGCAATTGCGATCGCAAAACGATGGTCTAAATGGGGTTTTTCCGCTTTGCAATGATCAGTTCCCTGCTTCGGGAACTGATTCTTCACAAAACGATGATTTAAAAACAGCTGATTGGTGGTTTAAAAATGTCCGCAGGGTAAACAAAATGGCTCCCCGCTTTCTTTTTTTTTTTTTGGACTTATATACCACCCCATAGCACTACAAGCACTCTCCGGGCGGTTTACAATGTAATTATACAGGCTACACATTGCGCCCCCAGCAAGCTGGGTACTCATTTTACCGACCTCGGAAGGATGGAAGGCTGAATCAACCTTGAGCCGGCTACCTGGGATTTGACCACTGCGCCACGAGGAATCTGGGACAGATTCCTCGCAAGACAGGCAGCGAAAATGGCTGCCCTATGGAGAATCTTCGCTGGACAGTGAGTTTTGACCCCATTGGTACGCATTTAAGGTGTTTCAATGCGTTTCAATGGGTTTATTATTTTTTTTGGCTTTACGATGTTTTTGCTTAACGGCGATTTTCCTGGAATGGATTATTGTCGTTAAACAAGGCACCACTGTACTATATACTTTGACATGAATGACCAAGAGGCATAATTTCCTGCTCTGCCTCAGGCCATGGCTTGGAGTGATCCTGTGGGAGATCAAATGCTTTACCTGTGGCTTTCCTATATTGGTTTCTGTGAAAAGGAGCCTGCTGTTTTCTCTAAGAGTAGTGGTTCCCAACCTTGGGTCCCAAAATGTTCATGGAGTACAACTCCCAGAAGCCGTCAGCACTATCTGGACGGGCCAGGATTTCTGAAAGTTGTAGTTCAATAACATCTGGGGATCCAATGTTGGGAACCATTGTTCTAGAATCTAGAGGAAAACATATAGTACTGTACAGTAGGTTTATTTACCTGTGTGCCATCACTACGATGCAAACATTTGAATTAGCCCTTCACTCCAACTTGTGACATTGGATAGTACTCGTATGTCAGTAAAGTTAGTACGTATCTTTTCCCCCCAGGCATATTATTCCCTGTAGTCTGTGATTTAGCATTTCAGATGAGAATGAGAATTGTTAAAAAGTTAAAGTAAAATTAAAGTTAAAAATAAAAAAGTTAAAGTTGAAAATAAGAACTATTAGTTTTTCCTGAGAAATTTTAATTCTGATACTGATACAGTATATATATATATATATCACAGAATCATGTCTAAGATGATGGAACTTTCTTTAAAATGAAAATCTCAAAATCTTGCCCCACCCTTTGGGATTTTATTCATGCCTCCTGGAAAGCATCTTCAACCCAATTTGGCATCCAGTGATATCAGTGGTTTTCCTTAAGGTGATCATACTTTGAACTAAATGTACATAATTTATTATATTCTGACATTGTTTTCATGGCAGTAGGTCCAAGTGGAGCTTTCAACAGAGTGTAGCAGAGTGGAAGTCATGCTGTTGTGGGGCCCAAAAACTAAGTGGGTCCAGAAGACTCCATTTTGCTTCCCCTGTACTTAGCTTCCCATTCCCCACCCCAGCACCCTGTGGCCATGGAACTTCTTTGTAAGGTCTGTTCTGTGAGAACGGAGCTATCCACTTGCGTGTGTGGTTTCTCTGAAAATTTTCTATATCTTTTCAAACTTCAGCATCCTTCCAAACAGACTTCAGTGTCATTCCTGTTTCCAAACAAGTCTGCATTGGCTAGTCTTATTGGCATTCACTGGCTCAGTTTACTGTTTGAAATAATGATCAATTGATATCTTAAAAATATGTTTGATTCCACTTGTTTTTTTTCTCCCAGAGTAGCAAATATCATGGCAGACTTGGAACAAATTTTCCTGTTTCATTGCCTGTGGTTCATTTGGCCGCAATGCTTCTGTTAGGACTATGTGGAGTTGCGGAGGCATTTAAAAAAAAAATAGACAAACGATGCAGTCTAAGCCATGATTATGTTTGCTGGATTGATGGAATTCATTTTTTCGATTTTTAGTTGATATTATAGCAATGATTTATTTATTTATTCAAAATAGGTATGGAGCTTTGCAATTGTTCTATGATCAAGTCCATGTGATTGCTATGGATTAAACCATGGTTTCAGTGGATGAACTATTTTGTACTTGGAACTTCCAAACAAATTGGCAGATACGTGTAATCATTCTTCAAGAGAATTGTCTTCCTGTGCATTTGACCATGTTGGCTACTTCCCATTTATAAACTTGGCACAGTTGCCTGTTTCCTAACATGGCTAACATCACGGCAAGGTGTGAGACTAATTTTCAAGATGCATTTATACATTTCTTGCCAGTTTTTAAAAAATTCTCCTAGTGAAGTCTAAGTTAAGGAGTGTGTGTGTGTGTGTGTGTGTGCGTGCGTGCGTGCACGCACCCACAAACACACATTCCTCATACAGTATATTCTACAAACCGAGCCAAGATGTGTCTGTTCTTAACATTTGCTAATAATTTGTTCAGTAAACTAAAAGAAAGCAAGTTGGAAAATGAAACTTACTTTTTTGGTAAGGTTTGTGGAAATTCTTCAGTTCATGGATTTTCTTAGTTGTTCACTTGTGCTTCAGGTTGCTCTAGTGCTGACTGACACTCGACTATAGATATGTTTAGTCTAGTGTGCTAAAATCCTGCACTATAAAACACAACGGATTGATTATGCCAGCTGACTTCACTTCAACTTGGTAATTTATTGATAGATTTTAAGAACTTTTAATGGTGATGTAGTAGCTTGTTGGATAGGGTGATGGGCATATACTGTATACGTATATATATATATACATACACATACAGTGGTGCCTTGCAAGACGATTTTAATTTGTTCCACAGAAATCGCTGTCTTGCAAAAACATTGTCTTGCGAAACCTAGTTCCCCATTAAAATACACTGAAATCTATTTAAGGTAAAGGTAAAGGTTCCCCTTGACAATTTTTGTCCAGTCGTGTTCGACTCTAGGGGGCGGTGCTCATCCCCGTTTCCAAGCCATAGAGCCAGCGTTCTGTCCGAAGACAATCTCCCATGGTCACATGGCCAGTGCAACTTAGACACGGAATGCTGTTACCTCCCCACCGAGGTGGTCCCTATTAATCTACTCGCATTTGCATGTTTTCGAACCACTAGGTTGGTGGGAGCTGGGAGAAAGCAACGGGAGCTCACTCTGTCGCGTGGATTCGATCTTACGACTGCATGGTCTTCTGACCCTGCAGCACAGGCTTCTGTGGTTTAGCCCACAGCGCCACCACGTCCCTCGAAATCTATTTAATGCATTTCAATTGGGGGGAAAACCACTGTCTTGCAAAACACAGGTCCCCATATCATATTGGGGAAAAGCAATCCCTTCACCTGCACTGCCTTTAGAAATGCCTTTAGAATGGCCCTTGAAACTCCTACCCCATTCTTTCCCCTAAACCCCCAAGTCATGGTGACCCCCTCGCTGCACCTCCCACTCAGTACAGGGCTGCACAGCTCCAGTTCTGCGAGAGGCTAAGAGAGCTCCTCAGGGTTTTGGGGAGTGGGAGGTGCAGTCAGGGGGTCACCATGCCTTGGGGGTCAGGGGACAGAAGAGGATAGGAGTTGCAAGGGCCATTCCAACTCATACCTTGCAGGAGAAATACCATGTCATAAAAGTGGTTTTCCCAGGGGGAGGCTCATCCATTGCACTTTGGGGGTGCTGCTGATCCCTATGATTTCCCTAAACGTGGGCAACTCAATTGCATAATTTGTGTTAATGGGGGGAATGCCCTTATGATTTTCCTGATGTTTTTGCAATTTCTTTATCCTTTGGTTCCTGGCTATTTTCATCATTCTCTACCATTTAAATTTGCAGCCATAGCCCCATTGGCAATACTTTGCAAGATTTGTTCCCCCCATTGAAACACATTAATTACATAAGACCTACTTTTTTATCCCACAAAAGTGGGGGAGAAAGTGTATGCTGCTATTTTTCCAGGAGGCAGACCCTGGAAAGCCAGCAGCACACAGTTTCTCCCCCACTTTTTTGGGATAAAAAAGTAGGTCTTATGTAATTAATGTGTGTTCTAATGGGGGGGGGTCTATCTTGAAAAAAAGGGTAAAAAAATCTTGTGAGGCAAGGACCTAACCATCATCCAGTGAAAATTGCCCATAGGAACAATCGTTTTGCAAAGTGTAACATTAATTCCTCGTTTTGCGAGGTAATCATGTAGCGAGGCACCACTGTATTCAATTACTAGTGCTGTTGTCCCCTTTTAGGGACTTGCATGTCCAGTGTACTGGCTGGCTGGCTGACTTAGTGGTTTAGGTATCTGGCTGTACAGCTACAGGTTGGGAGCTGGCTTCTGCACTGTGCCTCCTGTGAGCAGAGCAATGGGCAAGCTGTACAGTCTCAGGGTAATTGCAGAAGAAGGAAATTGTAAACTGCTTATGAGTATTCACTATCTGGAAAGCCCTGAAAAAGGTCACCATCAGTATTACTGAATCAAAAGGCAAACAATGTGTGGCAATAGCAGGCCTGCGCATCTGAACTGAAATGAAGTAGAAGAAAGAATTAAAGCACAGGGTGAGTTAAGGAGGTGGTGGGAATGTCAGACACTTTCCCCGGCCTCTGCTTTCCCACCCTCATACTTTTTCATCTAATCATTAGTCTCTGGCCATCTTTCTTTTACTGGAAATAATGCTCTGGGCGAGGTAAAAAGTGGAAGAAAGATTGGAAGGCGGAAAAGTTCAGTTCTTGCTTTCTGCCCATCCTGCATTTTAAATTCTCCGCCACGTGCAACTCCGAAAGGAAGCTGCTTATGGCTTTTCCTCCCATCCCACTTTAGACTTAACAATATAGCATATTTTCCCTTAGCAGTTTCCCTAGTTTGAGCCTAGACAGCCTGCTGCCCTCAGGATATGGCGGAATTATGGCTTCCATTACTTCTAGTCAGCATGGCCAATGACAAGGCATGCTGGGGGTAGTAATTCATTCCTGCATTGAGCAGGGGGCTGGGCTTGATGGCTTTATAGGGCCCTTGCAACTTCACTGTTCTATAATTGTTTGATTCTATGAATTGAGACTATAGCTCCCAGAATTCCCCACCAAGCAAGGATTCCTGGGGCTTGCAGTCCAAAAAAATGTAAATTCACCAAGCTCTGGATTGTGGGCAAGTTTTTGTTGTTGTTTCTTTTCCTGGCCTGTGGCTGTTATCTGAAGTTATATGCATCAGATTTTCTTCAGGCATTTACAGATGCATGTTAGTCTGTATATCAGAATGTTAACAAAGGTGCTTGATATATAGAAAACATCAGCTTGCTCGATTTAGGGATTTACTGGAGAAAATACCTTTATTTTACAAGGAGAGAAACCAAGCAACATTTTGCATTTCATGTTCACTATAGCAAATGATATTTTGTTACCATTTCTTAAAATACCTTACATTTGGAATCATTATTTCTACCTTCGGGGATTGGGGGGGGGGCTTTTCCCCCTGAAGATTAATGTTTATTTGTATTCGAAGCTTTATAGCTGTTGATAAACTCTTATACCACTTACTCCATAATTTTGCTGTTCTATGCTTGGCCTCTTTATTTTTATTCATTTGTTTTTATTTATAGGTTGCCTTTCACCTGATAAGGGGAGTCAAGGCGGCTCACAATATTAAAAAGAATAGAATTAAAACAATAGTGCATTAAATATTTTTTTAAAATTAAACAATATACTGATTAAAATACAGTTGAATAATTACAAGCAAATAGACATTAAAAACTATCTTAATTTTAAAAAGACCTAGAAGGATCACAGGAATCAGAGGTACCCGTGGTCGGTCTGTGTTTTAGTTCTGTTTTTAGGTGTCAGAATTTTCAGTAATGGATGCTCAAAAACAGCTTTATATTAAAAACCAGGTGTGTGAAACTAAGCAACTTTCTTTTGTTCTCACCACTGTTTTTCTCTCTTTTTCAGGCATAGATGTTCTTTATCATTTAGGCCTAAGTGGGGCCCCCCTACATCCCCCATCAACAGGGACTACAATGCCCTTATCACGTACTTCGTTACCTCAAGGGGTTCACCTAAGTGCCTCAGGAGTTGTTTTGTCTGCAGCGGCTGCCATTGAGGTTCCCATTCCTCCAGTGATAGCATCAAGTTTGGGTACCCAGTTCACTATAGTGATAAGCCTACGCTCTTATAATGTGAACAACGCCTTTCTTTTCAGTATTAGGAATAAAAATAGACTGCAGTTTGGTGTACAGTTGCTGCCAAGGAAGATAATGGTCCACACTGGAGGAAAGCAGTCTGTATATTTTGATTACAGTATTCATGATGAGCAGTGGCATTCGTTTGCTGTCAGTGTTACTGAAAAAGCAGTGTCTCTGTACATTCAGTGTGGAAAGAAGCATTTCAGCAGAGAGATTCTTTCTAAACGACCAGAGTTTGATCCTCATAGTTTGTTTACCTTAGGAAGAATGAATTCCCATTCAATCAACTTTGAAGGAATAATATGCCAGCTGGATATTATCCCTTCTGCACAAGCTTTAGCAAACTATTGTAAATATGTGAAACAACAATGTCGCCAAGCTGACACATACCGATCTCAACTTACCACTCCGGACACATGGCTTGGGGTGCCCCCAACAAAACAGGTGGATGAAGAAAAGACAGATGCTTCAAGTCCTTATCACAACACTTCCTCATCAATGCATATACTTCCAGAATTCCTAGAGAAAGCTTCTTCTTCAACATCTCCTTTCTTAAAGATTATTACTGCACTGGAAATTAAACCTGAACCAAGTAACAATCAAATCGTGAATATCTCAAAAATTCACCAGCATGATAACAGTAAAAAGAAAGGTGGTTTCCAGATCTTCACACGATTGCCCCTAAACCTTACAGACAATACCACAGAAGATGCGAAAATGTATCCTGATCTTCTCTTTTCCATAAAACAGACTAAAACAAAAAGTATTATAAGAAACACAACAAAGCAGTATTCTTATGAACCGATGGAGATGCTGCAAATTTTAAACACAACATTATACAAGGCTCCTGATACCGTGCTTTCAAATAACCAGCTTGGTTCACAGGATGACCATACATTTCCAATTGATGAGACTTATAATGCAGAAAGCAGCTATGAACTTGGTATTGATGGTTATGATTACGACTATGAAGAATTGGAGAGAATGCTTGAAATGGAGAATCTGAAAGGGCCTAAAGGGGATACAGGACAGCCAGTAAGTTGTCTGTTTTTCTCAGTAGAAAGCAACCGTATCTATCAGTAATGGGTTTTATAATTATTCTTTAGGGATGTGTTATTGTAGGAATTTCCTGTGGTTTCACTTTTGTGGTGTTAGAACTATGAGAAATAACCTTGAACTTTTGGTTCCTGAAAGAAGTTAGGTATGCTGTTATGGATCAAATTTCTCTTAGTTTTTCTGGAGGCAAGTATGCAGAGACAGAAACTGGCTGAGGGCCACGGGAAGGGAGGTTTTCTCATTTGGGAAGTACTGTACCACTTTTTGAATCAAAGTTTGGAAAGTTACCTTTTAGAAGTAGCTAAAGCAACTTAGATTTATGCCATAAAAAGAATGAAGTTATCCCTCATTTAGTTGCAGTTATAATATAGCCTGGTTATGCTTTGGCTATTTCAAAAAAGGAATTAAGTGCCAGTGACTTTTCTTTTTAAGCTCTGGTCTGAATTACTCTCAGTCCCTTATTTCTAAAGCCTAGTTCTGAGAGATGATAGACGTCTGCATCCAAAGTGCAATATAACACATGGCTGAATACTCCTCTAGCTACCCATGTGCATTCTTCCTTGCATGCAGTTTTCTGTACAGAGAAAATTAAAATTTCTGGAAGAAGATAATGGTAGAATTTTGAAGTGATCCAGATAAGTGATAAGCGTTATTCTTTATTGTATACAAAATAATAACTTCTGTCTAAGCCAGGGGTATAGAAGGCATAGCCCGTAGACCTAAACTGGCCTGTGGACATTCCCTGGTCGACTACTTATGTTACTGAATAAACCTCTCCTTTTTCTAAACCTGACCTTCTGGAAGCTAGCAGGAAGAGGGATCTTTGGTCTCTGACTGGAGATAAATGCAGGGGTTGACATATAAAAAATGGGCTAAGAATTAGTGCAGTGTATCTTAATATTTTTTAATGTTCAACATGGTTGACACAAGAAGGATCTTGCAATAAGAAGTGGTTGACACATTATCCTCTGAACGGGCAACCATCTGGAGGTAAGTTCCCTGTTCTTACAATGGCCTCTTTTTTTTTGTCACAAGCATAAAAGAGGGGAAGCACTAAAGAAAAGCAGTGAATTAGGAAAGAAAACAATTATTTCTGATATATATATATATATACAGTATTTTAACATTGTCTACCATGTTTTGGAAGATAAACTTCCCTTCATCCAGTTAACCATCGATAGAGGGAAATTTACAAAACTGTTAAGATGGGAAACTATAGAAGAATTGTTACTAAAGCTATTTCCAACAACATCAGGGAAGCATAAAGGTATTACATTGCAATGGTGTGTAAGTTTAAAATCAGATATAGAGTATGCTGACATGAAAACATAGAAAATATGCTGCTATAAAATCTTTCAAAGGCCAAAGTTAGGAGTGGAAAAACGAGAAGGAAAATATCTTTCATGTGTCTCTTACACATACAGTGCTGGAAACATCTCTTTACTCTTACTTTGTCCCAAGGAAAGAAAATAGTGAGTGAACCAGTTTCCTCAGTTTCTTTGGCGCAGGAAAATGGAGTTCTCTTGTAAGAGTGAACTTAGAGTAGTAGCGGTTGGCAGTCAAAAAGTCTCTGCTGGAAGTGGACGTAAGAAGAGAGTTGGAACAGGTTACTGGAACATTACTGCTTTACTTTCCCTGTAGTCTGTGTCAGGGTTTGAAGCCATCCCAGGCATTGGGAAACGTCCATACATATGATTCCTCACTGCTGGATAGCTGCAACGGAGGCGGAGGTAGATTTGCAAACTTCAGGAATTTTCCGGATATATTGTGCAATATAACCTTGTGGATAAATCAGTTATTAGCTTGCCATATGTTGAAAGTAGCCTGCAGAGAGGCTGTTAGTTTCCATTTGTTTGCCACAAAGCAGGGGGGAACGCTTCTTCAGCCAACATGAGTATGCCAGTTATTATCCTTCAGGTTAGCCATCTCTTTCTCTTATCCAGATGGAATTCCTTTGTAGTCCGTGGGTGAGTTGTGAATGAAAGGCAGTTTTATAATACACAGGTGCAATTTACTTACTTTTGAGCCACATGTGGGAAGTCCACATTGTTTGATTTCAGTATAATTTCTAACAGGTTTACTTCTATGCGCTACAGACTATGTTGGTTGTATTTCATTTTAGATTGCTGGGGAAAAGCTGGACGTTTGCTGAATTTTGCTTACAGTATTTATGTGGGTGTGCATGCATCTTTATTACTGACAGCATCTGATAAAAGTTGGAGCGTAGCTCAGGAAAGCTTACGCCACTATAAAGTTGATAGCATTTCAGGTGCTATCTTTTGTTATTTTTGTCTATTTCTTTTTTATACAGATACAGCTAAAACCTCACTGTTATATAACAGCAGTGTCATTCTATAACCTGATTTTCTTTTCTGCGTATTAAGGTCATATTAAGGAACATACCCTGTAATGTGTGATACAAGATATATATGTTGATGTTGTTGGTTATATAACATGTGTGACCTACATCAGGGGTGAGCAATGTCAGGCTAACCCTAGAAATTGAAGGAGTGCATCTGCTCTGGCACCCCATCCCCCCAATTTTTCTGGGAAAAATAATTATTTTTACTGGGAAAGCATCCTTACACCCTCTAGTGGCTGTAAAGAGGAATGTAACATTTTTTTTTGCCTGCTCCTGATTTTTTCTGAACATCTGCCACTTTTAAACAAATGCTTCACCATCTGAAAAGAACTGGGGGGGGTACATGACAATTTTTTCACTGTGTCCCTCAGGTAGGGGAAAGGAGTCTTAATAGTAATTTATAAATATTTTGGGGTGTGTGGAATATATGGGGGGGCATGGGATGCCAGGGCACAGTCGGGCCCCTATGGACTGTACTTTGCTCAGCTCTGATCTGTACTGTTTTTTTTCTAACTGCATTCACATGTCTCAACAAGCCCTGCTTTGTTTGTTTTTGAAACCTTTCTTCTTCTGGTTTGAATACTTGCATCTAGTAAGGTGTGGTTTATTAACCTGCCACAAATCACAGTTTGAGACCATGTTTTGTTGTTAACATATGAACTCTGCCTTGTTTAAACATGGCACATTTGGATGTCAGAACCTGCAGCAGTGGTCTGGCTTTCCCCCCTGAACTACCTGCAGTGAAATGGTAACTGACAATGGAAATTACCAAGTTTATTTGGTTGTCTGCTATGTAATTCAGGATTTGAGCAACAGATGAATGGTTAACACAAACTATTGGAATATTCCTTTTTCTTTTTGGAGTACAGCTGTGACTGATATATACATGCAGATGGAATCCCCCGCCAAAAAAGAGAAGCAGAAAACAAAAAAAGAAAAAAATATCTCAGTGTTTACAGGATCATCTGATCTGTATTTGCATCAACATTGCTTTATAGGCAAAACCATGATGGTTTGAGCTTAGAAGTTTGGTGCGTAGCACAAGTTCCTAGAAACGTGCAAAATGTCAGCCCTGTAAAAAGGTGGCATCTAAAAAACTGATACTCACACATAAAAATGTGTTCTGTATTTCAAAATTTAAAATATGTTTCTGACTCTGAAGGATGATGGATGACAACATCACTAGACCTTCTTTTTCAAATACTGGAAGTCCTGTGACAGCTTCACCAGCCACAGGATATCATGTAATGTGAGCAGAGTATTATTAACTGACAATAAGCAGATTATGAATGTTTTTTTTGTAAAAAACCTGGAGACAGCTTGATTAAAAAAAAAAAATTAAAAGATCCTATGTTTGATTCTAGAAATTGTGGCTGACTACTGGGTAACTTACAATTTTTTTATTGTTTGGCAGCCTTGCTAAATGGAGTCACAAATGTTGCCTGCGTCCAGTCATTGGAGCCGAAACAGGGTTGGGAGTAGGAGAGAACAAAACTGAGGGAGAGAAACTTATTTTAAAACTTACTTGCTTGATTTCCTGATAAAGAGAAAGGAATATGGTGTTAATTATACAAATGCAGTATATATGCATATTTTATTATGTAAATAGAAGTGGGAGCAGCTTCAGTAGACTCAAGAATTTAGAAAAGTTAACATTTTTTGGACTACAACTACTACTTATAATCCCCCAGTCGCTATGGTCACATGCTGACTGGGGGTTTCAGAAATGGCAGTCCGGAGAAGTAGCTCTTCCAAACTTTGCTCATGGCTAGAGATGGGCACGAACCGAACTACGAACCAGGAAAAAAAAACCCCTACAAACTGGGCTGGTTTGTGGTTCAGTTTGTAACCTACTTTAGGGACCCCCTTTTGCCGAAATGAAACAAAGCACTGAACTTTTTTCCCCTCAATGGTTCATTTTGTTTTGGCAAAACGTACCTACTGCCCAACATATAAGTGGGTACATGAGCAGAGACAGCAGGCCGTCTCCTTGAAGCCAGGCCTGATGTCTCTGTGCATGCGTCTGCCTATCAGTTGAGCAGCGGGTGCATGCGCAGAAGCAGTGGGCCTGGCTTCTGGGGAAGGAGCAAAGCCTGCTGCCTCTCAGGATGGCAGCAACAGCAGGACCAGAAAGGGAGGTAATAGGGGCAGTGGAAATGGGTGGGGAGGTAGCAGATGGCAGGAGCAGGTAGTTTCCCCCCCCCCAGGCACGAACAGGAAAATGAACTGCGAACCAGTTCATTTTTCTGGGGGCGGGGTCATGGCCCAATTCGTGATTTTTCCAGTTTGTGCCCATCTCTATTCAGGGCTGTGGGGCACTGGAAGCTTCTCTTGAAATGCAAATAGCAGTTTGGAGAGGATAGTTTTGTTGTTGATGATGCAACCTTCCATGAGAGAAGAAGTTAAACATCTTCTTTCTTCCTGCAGGCTGCTCAGGGTTCTTCAAAAGACTTTGTAAATCTCAGGTGTGACTCGTACCACAGGCAAATGAACATGTGCCAATTTACAAGTTTAGATTAAATTACTGTCATACATTTAAAAGCTGCTTTTCCCAAGCTATGCATGAATACACAAGGGACTTCAGAATGTGTCTGATGTTGATGATGATTGTTATTATGTTATTGTTTATTTGTCTGTTATTAATTTTTCTTTAGAGCTTGGAAAAGTTCATTTTTGAACCCTCATTCCCAGAATCTCCCAGCTGGCATGGGGGAGTCCAGTAGTAACTTTTCTAACATCAGATTCGATATATTTAAATTCAGATGGTAATTATTTTAAAGCATGGGATGGTGTTTTAAATATATATGAAAAAGAGATTAAGAGTGCATTTTCCCCCATGTGTGGGCAGGTTACTCAGGAATTCCAGAGGCCTTTCTCACAACAGAAATGTTTTGAGGTGGATTGTTTGTAAATATAGCACTCTTGTTTGGGAATATGCTACACATTTGCTAAGTCTCCGGACTGGAATTCTGTGTGGTGGTGTTCTTGCAGGGATGCTGAGAAAGTGTGATTAGAGAAGTTTGAACACAAAGAAACAAACAGAGAAATCAGATGCCCTCCTTAAATTTACTCTACATGGTGGTGCTACATGACTGTTGATGGCCAAAAAGGGCTTTCTGCCTTCATGCCATTTCACTGCAGTATTGAGCTGAAACCCAAGCACAGCTAATTCGATTCACTCTACTCTTAATCTGTTCGCATCTTCACCAAAGTCTGCAAAGTAATTTTTGCCTGAGCCCTACTGCTCAGGTAGCCATTTCGGGGAGTATTCAAAATGGCTTCATAGAAAAGATAACTATAGACTGTATTTTACCCTACTTCAAACTGGTACCCTCCAAATGTGTTACACTACAACTCCTTATGTCAGATTGGTGCCCAATTGTAGAATAAAGCATTGGACTTTCTGAGGAAAAACAAAATGATAAGAAGTTTGTTATATCATTGCTTAGTTTAATGTTCACACAACTTAATGTTTGACTGACGTTCACCTTAACCATTTTTTGTCTTTCCCTTTTTAGGGACCCCCAGGTTCTCCAGGATTACCTGGTCTGCCAGGGAAGAGAGGCCCAAGAGTGAGTAAAGGATTCATGTGCTGAGTGCTAAAATGTCAGTTGTTAAAGATCAATAGAGCAGTATATATCTGACTATGCATATGTGGTCACAGCAAATCTAATCCAGAGGGCATTGTTGTTCATTATTGTTATATGACAGATGCTCTGAGAAATGAGTAAAGCAGCGCATTTTGATTGCACTTCCACTAAATGCAGTGTTTGTATTGTTGTATCAACAGAAAACATGCAACGTGATGATCTGCTGCTACACACTAATCCTCCAGTTTTAGTCCTCTTGTCATTTGTGACTCTGAAGCATAAAGGTCATGTTCCTTTGGTTGCTGGAATGAGGGGGAGTGGGCTCTCTGGCATGCTGCATTCCAGAATTAGAAGTAGAAAACCACAAGGAAGGAGTTATCCACAGCAGGAAAGGTGGAAACCTGTCCTAGGAATCAGTAATACTTTTCTAGCAGCTAAAAGCAGTCATTATTTATTTAAGAAATATCTAACACTACCCCAAACTAACCAGATTTCCACTGAAGTTCCTGTTTGACCGGTTTATTACAACGCAACATACAGTATCATTTTTGTCTTTGAGAGTTTCGAATATTTGGACAAACACTGTCACTGCAATACTAACTAACCAAAAGACATGCCAGCTGTAGGGAGTTTGAAATTGGCAGAAGCTTCTTTTGCCAGCAGAAATACTCCTGTTCTTATAGAGCCACCTTTTGCTGGTTGATTTCCAGCTGGGGCATCTGCCAGTAGAAATGTTCTGGGAAAACAAGAAGACAGGAGTGTTGATATGAAGGATACGTTCTTGGAAATACATTTGTTCTTTTTAACTACTGGTGAGTTTTTTGCTGGAATAAAATCTAAATCATGGTTGAGCATTGACTGCAAACCAGGAGGATGTGAAGCCAAGGTTATTTTAACCAGCCTAAAGTTGCCTGAGTTACCATTTTCTCTTATTTTCTGTTCATGGTTGAGCATTGACTGCAAACGAGGAGGATGTGAAGCCAAATTTATTTTAACCAGCCTAAAGTTGGCTGAGTTACCATTTTCTCTTATTTTCTGTCTGCTACGCCTCCCCCCCTTCTCTCTTCCACCCTACTCAGAAGGCCATCAGGAAAGGATCAGATTGATCTCAGAGATTAGACTTGATAGTTTCCTTTGGAAAATCTGAAACTAGTCCAAGAGTCACAAGTCGCTCTGTTCTAGTGGCAGGCCTTAGGACAAAACATTATGTTACCCACAGACAGCTGCAGAACCTAGATCCAAAATATTATATAAACTCATTTAGAAAAAATTGCATGTATCCCCAGAGTATCTTTTCATTTCTCAGATGTAGCAGTCTCTACTGGCAAAGATAAAATAGCTAATTCTCTTTTGGGAAAGTGAGACCTGTACAACTAAATAAGGAAATGAGGGAATCCCACCATCCTGTCAATGCCATCAGCTCTCCTGAGAAACCAGGGCTTTCTCCAAGTCACTCTGCATATTTAGAAATTTGTGGAAAGGCCTTTCCTTTCCCTGAATTATTCCCACCCCAGCTAGGTGTTGTCATGTAAGGAATCTGAAATATCAAGAAGTCGCATTAACATTTCCCCCCCTTCCCCCTTGCTTTCTATTCCTCTCCCTTGTCTTCGTTTTGTGGCTTTTTAGAGTTTAAGCTTAAGGGCATTGGCTTGTCTCCCCTCTGCCTTGCCCCCAATTGATAGGTGAACTATTTTGAGACTTCTTTCTCTGAAGATCAGGAAAGAAATGCCTTAAATCAGGGATGGGCAAAGTTAGCTTCTCCACATTTTATTGAACTATAGTTCCTACGATTCCTCACCACTGATAATGCTAGCTGGTCGGAGTTGCAGTCAAATAAGAGCAAACTGAAGGCTGCACTTTCCCTATTTCTGCTTGAAATAAATACATAATAATGTTAATAATTCCTCCCTGCTTCCACTAATTTTGTCCTGTAACCAGCTAGGATGCCAGTGCAAAGGCATCCTAATGTCCTAAAAAGTGTCTTACTTTATGGAGTTTCTAATGTGCACAACATTAAAGTTGCATGATGATTTCACACATCATGAGAATTGCCACTGGAGGGTCATATTCCTCCTCTTTGAACTGGAGATCTTTCTGTTTCCTCTTCTTATAACTGGATATCCCTGTAGACATGTAAATATTTCAGCGCTATGTGACTGAAACATTTAATATGCAGACAAGGCTCCCCATTGAGAATGACAAATCAAAAGTGAAATTAATTCATCACATGTTGGTTGGGACAAGCTCTGTTAGAATAAATATTTTCTCCTAAGGAAAATGTGTGTTTTTTACAGCGCCTTGTGTCTTGAGGCCTTCTGTCAAAGAATTCCAAAGCTTCTGATAGTAGTTCACTGAATTCTTAAACTAATCAAGGGTGGTTCTGGCAGATAATTACATTTTAAAGTACCTAAGGTAAATTCTAGGATGCCTTTGTTTTTACAGAAGTTCCATTCTTGGTATAATATGTTCTGGAGCTTTATGAATCCTTTCCACCATTAAATGGATGGGTCCCTCCCCACCCAGGCTCTCTGAAAGTGTCTTATGTTTTAGGAAACCTTAAAATGGATGGGGAAGGTATGGCCTATCAGATGTTACTGGTCTGCAACTCCTAGCATCCTTGGCAGCATCAGCTAAGGCTGGGGGTTGCAGTCTGGCAACATCTGGCGGACCATATTTTCCTTTCCTCTGCCCGTAACTTGCTATCACTCCTATGAATAAATTATACAATGTGTGATCCACATTTCTGCTCTCTTGTGGCATACAGTTGCACATTAGTTGGGACTATTAAGAGGAGTTATCTTTCAGTACCTTATAATTCATTAAAGAAAAGCGTTAACTCACCAAGTAAAAATGTTAGCCTGTCTCCTATTAAATGTAATGGCACTGAAGCAAAGATTCCCATGGTCATTGGCAAGCCGCTCATGAAAGCCTCTCTTGCCAGGAGAGTAAAAATCACAGTTTTGGCACTTTTTAGCATTCATTGGAAGGAAGGAGAAGGCACGAAAATACCAGTAACTTTCATTTGCCGCACACACTCCAGTAGTAATCAGCATTGTCACAGCCAACTTCATTGATTATTTAACACAGAGGGAGCAGCCCTGCACAGCCCTGTTTTGGATCTGGGTCTCATTCTTTACAAGTGGTTAATGCATCGGAAGTCCATTTCTGCAAATGGATTAACCTTGCTGGATTGATCTAAGGACCTGGTATTCAGCCTGTCTGAAATCAACAGGGACGTACCATGTTGATTAGACTTGCATGAAGGAGTAGTGTTCAAAATTAATTGAATCACTATTATGTCCTGAGAAGGCATCCAAAAATCACTGTTACTCCCCCGCCAACAGCTCAGTTCATACATTAGGCGAGGTGTTTCTTTCGGGGTCCCAAAGAGAACCATGGGATCATGCTCACCGTTTCATTCATGCTTTTCTGTTTTGTTAGGAGCTTAACGCCTTGTGATGACCGTCTCTTTTTCACATCTGGGAAGATATGTGACTAAAGTGATGTTTAGCCTTTGTTGATCAAAAATTGTTCGGGCAGGGTTGTCAACAGAGTGTGAAAAACAGGTTGTTCCATTTAGTATTTCAAAGAGCCTAATGTTCAGTTTATGCAAAGGAAGGTTTTCCTCATGTGGTATTAATCAGCAGTTTTGGACTTTGGTGTTTTACTTGCTAAACTTGCTTCACTTGGAGGCCCAGCACTGTACCCAGGCCTGGGTGTCCCTGAATGTCCAAGGGGAGGGCCTTTTTAGTGGTGTGCCCAGATTTTGATCCTCTCCAGATAAGCTTCATTTCTTTAAAAATCAAAAACCCTATTAAATCATTAAGGAAATTATTGGAACTTCAATCACACTAGTTCCCACACCTCAATTTTTGCACTGAACACAGAAACACAGTTCTCTGAAGGGAGGGGGGATGGGGTTCCTGAGCAGCCTCTCCACAACCTTGGATAACTCCAACTCAGCGATGGAGCGTGTGTGGCTAGCTTGCCTTTCTTGGTGCCTTGTAGGAGGTACCACAAGGTCCTTTTAACACGTGAATGTGGCTTATGTTAAAATGTTTGCCGAGATACAGGAAATGTTAATTTCTGTTTTTTTCTGTTCTTAGGATGATGCATTTTATTCCTTGTCGGTTTTTTTAAAATATATTTTGCTTTGGTGGCTTGAATATTTCAGTTAGACAGAATTATTTCTAAGATGATGTTGATGATTGCATGGTTTTGTTTTAATTAAAGTATGTCGTACTTGATACATATTATAGAGAAAGGCAGGATAAAAATAAAATGGACAATGCATAGCTTAGGGAATTAAAATAATGCTTCATATTGGCTTTTTCCTCCAGAAAAAATGATCCATGGTTGACTTCAAGAATACTCTAACTCGTATACTCTATGATACTTACCTATGTAATACTTTATTCTCCATTCTTCTTAGGGTATTCCAGGCCCACATGGGAACCCAGGACTTCCAGGGCTGCCTGGCCCAAAGGTAAGGAAACTTAAACGTAACACTGCTGCATGAATCATGGCGTCTATTTACATGTGTCTATTTGAAATTATGAAGACTGGATTGCTCTGAGTTTAATGTTAACATTAATAGATCATTTATTTCGTTTATAAAACATTTATTTAGTTTATAAATGAAGCCCTAACTATAAATAGTTCTTGCTCCATGTAGTTTAGTAAACTGGAGTCATGCTTGAGTAGAAGTAGACAGTGTTGCAGAGGGGGAAAAACATTGTCAATTGAGTTAAATTTTCATTTTGAATGTTTTTTACTCCACTTGGTAATGGTGACTTTTCACAAACAAGTCAGAATTGTTTCAGAGGACAAGGTTTCCTGAAGTGGTCATTTAACCTTATTTCTCCAGGTTTGATTTTTAAAAAGAGTACTCAAAGAAAACATTTGTGCACTGTATTAAGGACTGTCTTTCAGTGTCATTCTCCATGCTTGGCAGTGGCTTTTAAAAAGGTAAAATAAAGGTTTCATGAATTAAGGCCTAGCAGGCAAACTCAAACCCAAGTAGCACAAGCTACTTAAATAGCTTTAGACAGATCTGTGCAGTGGTGGAATGCCTTCAACTCATATTTAGTTATAACAATTTGATAGATACGTTAGGGGGGAAAAACAACCCCAGCCTTGATTTGTTCTAGTGTGATTCTTCATGGCAGGAATCTGACCTTTAGTGACAGGTGTTAAAAAGCCCTCCGGGCTATGAAAATATATCAAATAAGGCTTGCGCAGTTTGACATTGTAAAACAAAGTAGCCCATGATTGTTGGATCCCTCTTACTGTAATTAGTATTTGATGTTTCTAGAAAAGTGAAGCTGAATATGTCAAGGTCTATTTGCAATATGTAGATTTCATGATAGTGTTGAAAAACAGGCAGATCAATTAATTGCCATTACAAGCTCCCCACTAGACACATTCTTCCTTCTTTCCTTTTTTTAAAACAGGGATCAGGGAACATTTTTACCTTTTAACCCCCCCCCCCCAAATTTATATATGCCAACATTACCCCCTTGATTTGAAAGGAAGGAAATCGTACATTATTTGAATTCAAAATCTTATTGAATCTATTCAAAATTACTTTGAAAGCTTCAACTTACTTGAAAACTTCGGATTTTGGAGAAACGATGTTGCTTCATCTTGGATATGAGAGCATCAATATTGGGGCTCTTCTCATCCTCATTACCCCCAGAATTTTCATTTTTACCCTATTTGGGGTAATTTACCCCTGTTCCCTGACCACTGTTTTAAAAGAATACAGACAATATTCCACCTTGAAAACTTGTCTTTTTTAAAAGACAAGTTTTCAAGGTGGAATATTGTCTGTATGGCACCCACCGTTTTAGTCTTTGCTGGTTTAGATGGGCTAGGAGTACTTTCTGATTTTAAAGTATCTGGTTTTCACTATATGTGCTTTTGTATTAGTAATGAGAGCAAGCATCTTTTATAACTGTTTTTATCTCTTTTTTTTAAATGGATGTGCAAAGTGTTAAGGAAACTGAATGACTACTGAATTTCTTGTATTTTGAGATAGCTAAAACCTGCTTTTGGACTCAGTAGCTACTAATTTATACGTCAAACTAACCATGGCAGAAAAGGCAATTGCCTAGTGGATTGTGCAAATAATCTTTTTAGAAAAACAACCTGGAGATTATTGGGACCTTAGCATAAACTGCTAAAGTTCCATGGGTGTTAGAGATTGCTGATCCTCAGAAACATGCCTTGGATTAATTCTGAAATTTTCCAGGTTTTTGCAACTCTAAATTGGAAGGGAAATTGGCAGATTTTCTGAAGCAAATCTGAGAGATTAGGAAAAAGTATCCTTGCCCATCTCCTTGCAGCAGTATCCCTGATGAAGTAAATTGTCCCATTAGATCATCCACTCTCAGTTGGGACCATATGGCCCCCTGGGGGCCCCCAAGCACATTTGACGGGGGCCACATACTGGAAGCACACACTTTATAAGGTTTGTTATGTAGTTTATACAATCCTGATTCAGCCTATATTTCTTTCATATTGTGTTTATGGCCATGGCCAAAATAAGGTTGAGAATGGTTACATAAGATCAATGCTATTTCATAGGGCCATATATGCACTACCCCAGCCTTCTTATATCCCTAACCACTTTTAAAAGCTCTTTGATATATGAAGTCCCCTTGTGTTCTCTAAAGGATTTGGGGGCAATTTTGCTATGTTTTGATGGCTCTTCAGCACCTTGGGACCCCTTTACCCCCCCAGAGTTGTAATTTTTTAAAATATTTTTGGCCACTATAAGGCACAAAGGTGCTTTTTCAGTTAAAAAAACATTTTAAGCATATTTGTGGTTGACGAAAAAAAACATATCAGCCTTTGACATACATATCCACTTTCTTGGAATTGATGATGATGATGATGATGATGATGACGACAGATGGTCTTGGGAAAGAGAAGATGATATTTGTCAGTGGTGGCATATATCTAAGTATCAGAGACATGCCGTTATTCTAATTATGCCTTCTATATTCTGGCCCAAATGAGTGAAACTATGTGTGACATAACATCAGATGGATAATGTTATTGTACCTATACAGAATGAAGCCATTTCATGTGTCTTGCAAGTTTCAAGAAGAGAAACATAATCTATACAGTGGTGCCTTGCTAGACGTTTACCCCGCTTGATGACAAAATCGCTTTACGATGCTTTTTTTGCAATCGCAAAACGATGTTTATATGGGGTTTTTTCACTTGACGATGAATAGTTCCCTGCTTGGGGAACCGTTTCTTCGCTAGACGATGATTAGAAACAGCTGATTGGTGGGTCGCAAAATGGCTCCCCGCTGTTTTCAGGACCGATTCTTCGCTTTACAGGCATCGCAAAATGGCCGCCCCATGGAGGATCTTCGCTGCACAATCAGGTATTTCCCCCATTGGAACGCATTGACCGGTTTTCAATGCATTTCAATTTGTGTGTGTGTGTGGTTTGTTTTTTTCTTGACGACAATTTTGCTGTACAGCGATTTTGCTGGAACGGATTATCGTCGTCAAGCGGGGCACCACTGTACTTTGCATATAGAGTTCTACATGGTCCCAGAGCTTATAAACAGCTACCCTGCGTATATCCTTCAGCCTGTAGGTATATCCTGCCAGTCATAGGCAGTGTGTGCATCAGTTAGACACATCTCTGTGTGTTAATCCTGAGGCTTAACATTGGAATATATAAATAGTAGAGTTTTCCTGTACATATGTATTAAGCAAGTATGCCTTGCCCTTGTAGTACATTTCTCAAAGCTGCCAAAGCTTCATTGTGGTCTCACACAATGATCACACAAATGGGTTTGTGCCTGCATAGAGCCAGTTTCTAGCCCCATTATCGCTTACAGTAATTAATTAAAGAAAATAAAAGTTACACATTAACAGTCTGTTTTGCAATTCAACAACAGCTAAATGTACAATTATAAAAATAAGGGCAATTCTTAACTGATGGATTGTACAATGTAATCATTGTGCTCTGCTGAGTCACTAATGAAACCTGTAAGTTATTAAAATGTTTCTAAGTTAAAATGTCAGGCTTATATGGGAGCACAGAAAACCATTTTATTCTGAGCCAGACTATTGTACCATTTAAGGCAGCTTTCCAGGGTTTCAGATGAGATTCCTAACATAGCCCTATTTGGAGATTCTTTGTACTCCAGGTGGTAACTTATCCAAATAGTAACTATGCCTGGCCTTGCTTAGTTTCTGAAATCAGGCAAGAGTGTGTTCAGGGCAATGTAGAAGTTTTCCAGTGACTTTAAATTATCAGTGATTGTGATGGTTAGTAGGCCACACCTAGGCCACACCATTGGGACAAGAAATCAAACCTTGTCTGTTTCGGTTCACTTGCTGTCCAAAACTGAAATCCAGATTGGCACTCTGCCTGTTTTACAAATCCAAAGCAAATAAATCTATATCTGTTGTTGTTGTTGTTTAGTCATTAAGTCGTGTCCAACTCTTTGTGACCCCAAGGACCAGAGCACAGAAGGCCCTCCTGTCTTCCACTGCCTCGGAGCTGGGTCAAAGTCATGTTGGTAGCTTCGATGACACTGCCCAACTATCTTGTCCTCTGCCGTCCCCTTCTCCTTTTTCCCAACATCAGGGTATTTTCCAGGGAGTCCTCTCTTCTCATGAGATGGCCAAAGTATTGGAACCTCAGATTCAGGATCTGTCCTTCCAGTGAGCACTCAGGGTTGATTTCCTTCAGAATGGATAGGTTTGTTCTCTTTGCAGTCCAGGGAACTCTCTAGAGTCCCCTCCAGCACCACAATTCAAAAGCATCAATTCTTCGTCAGTCAGCCTTCTTTATGGTCCAGCTCTCACTTCCATACATCACTACTGGAAAAACCATAGCTTTGACTATGCGGACCTATGTCAGCAAGGTGATGTCTCTGCTTTTTAAGATGCTGTCCAGGTTTATCATCGCTTTCCTCCCAAGAAGCAGGTGTCTTTTGATTTCGTGGCTGCTGTCCCCATCTGCAGTGATCATGGAGCCCAAGAAAGTAAAATCTGTCACTGCTTCCATATCTTCCCTGTCTGTTTGCCAGGAGGTGATGGGACCAGTGGCCATGATCTTAGCTTTTTTGATGTTGAACTTCAGATCATTTTTTTGCTCGCCTTTCACCCTCATTAAGAGGTTCTTTAATTCCTCCTCACTTTCTGCCATCTGAGTGGAATCATCTATATATCTGAGGTTGTTGATATTTCTTCCAGCAATCTTAATTCCGGTTTGGCATTCCTCCAGTCCAGCTTTTCACATGATGTATTCTGCATATAAGTTACATAAGCAGGGAGACAATATA